TTGTATCCAAATGAATAAAATACCTAGGAATAAATTTAACCAAGGGGGTGAAAGACTTGTACACTGATTACTATAAAACATTGCTGAAAGAATTAAAGAAGACTAAAATAAATGGAAAGACATCTCATGTTCATGGATGAGAAGACTTAATATTAAGATAACAATACTACCAAAGCCATCTACAGATTCAATGCAATCCTTATCAAAATTCCCAACAGTCATTTTTACAGAAACGAAAAAGCTGATCCTCAAATTCGTATGGAATTGATAAGGGCTTAGAATAGCCAAAATAATCTTGAAAAAGAAGAAGAAAGTTGGAGTATTCACACTTCCTGATTTCAAAACTTACTATGAAACTACAGTAATTGAAACATTGTAGTTCTGGCATAAGGATAGACATACAGACTAATGGAATAGAATACAGTGTCCAGAAATAAACCCCTACATTTACGGCCAATTGATTTTTGACAAGGGTTTCAAGACCATTCAATGGGGAAAGAATCATCTTTTCAACAAATTGTGCTGGGAAAACTAGATTTCCACACACAAAAGAATGAAGTTGGACCCCCTACCTCACCCCATATACAAAAACTAACTCAAAATGGATCAACGTCCTAAATGTAAGAGCTAAAACCAAAAAAGTCTTAGAAGAAAACATAGGGGGAACGCTTCATGACCTTGTATTTGACAATGTACTCTTAGATATGACACTAAAAGCACAAGCAACAAAAGAAAAAAACAAACTGGACTTCATCAAAATTAAAAACTTTTGTGAATCAAAGGACATTACCAAGAAAGTGAAAAGACAATCTACAGAATGGGAGAATATATTTGCAAATCATATATCTGATAAGAGTTTAATATCCAGAATATATAAAGAACTCCTGCAACTCAACAACAAAAAGACAAACAACCCATTTTAAATACAAAGGACTTGAACAGAAATTTCTCCAACAAAGATATACCAATGGTCAATAAGCACATGAAAAGGTGCTCAAAGTCATTAGTCATTAGGGAAACACAAATCAAAACCACAATGAGAAACCACTTCACACTCACTAGCATGGCTGTAATTAAACAAAAAAAAAAAAAGGAAAATAACAAGTGTTGACAAGGATATGAAGAAATTGGAACCCTCAAAACATTACCAGTGGGAATATAAAGTAGTGCAGCCAATGTGGAAACATTTTGGTAGTTCCTCAAAAAGTTAAACATAGAATTACCATGTGACCCAGCAATTCCACTTCTAAGAACATACCCAAAAGAACTGAAAAAAGGGGACTCAAATGTTCTTTGCAGCATTATTCACAAGAGCCAAAAGGTAGAAACAACCCAAGTGTCTATCAACAGATGAATGGACAAACAATATGTGGTATATCCATACAATGGAATATTATTTGGCCATGAAAACGAAAGAAGTTCTGACTCATGCTACAACATGGATGGACCTTGAGGACATTATGCTGGGTGAAATAAGCCAGTCACAAAAGGACAAATACTGCATGATTCACTTATATGAGGTCCTTTGAGGAGTCAGATTCATAGAGACAGAGACAGGAAGTAGAATGGTGGGTCCAGTGGCTGGGAGAAGGGGGAATGCGGAGTTAGTGTTTAATGTGGACAGAGTTTCCGTTTGGGAAGATGGAAAAATTCTGGAGATGGACGATGGTGATGGTTGCACAACAATGTGAATGGACTTAATGCCACTGAACTACATTTAAAAAATGGTTAAACCAGCAAATTTTATGTTATATATATTTGACCACAATAAAAAATAATTCAAACGGAAGAATATATTGTTTCGGCATACATATAATGATAAATATAATAACATATAACAATTACCAAGTGCTTATAACAAAAAATATATACACATGAGGCTGCAGGTGGATGGGCCAAGGCCCAGGAAAGTGGTGAGGGAAGGAAGTGGGGAAGGATACTGTGTTTGCAGAGCGTCCGTGCGTGGGCGTGGACTGAATTATCCAGCACACAGTGTCAGAGCCTGCTCCAGGAAAATGCTGTGCTTTCTGGCTCTTTGTGGCATCTGCTCACACCGAGAGGGCAGGATGGCTCCTCGCCTTGGCTGTGCCTGGGGAGGCGCAGGCTGGGAGGAGGGCCCGCGCTGTGGGAAGACACTTGGCTCTCAGAGTCCTCGCCTGCTCGACAGTGTGAGTGTGAGCATGGCTGCATCCCAGGGGCCAGGGAGACGAGGACACACGGGGGAGAGGGCAGCTGCGGGCAGAGGCTGGGGACAAACATTCATCCACATCCACACACACCAAGAGCCTTGGACAAGCACTAGCCTGGCTTCCAGTAGCTCAAGGCCGGGCCTGGGATGACCCAGCCCCTGGAGGGCCTGCCCGCAAAGTCGCCAGAATTTCCTGTTTGTTGCAACCAACACCTGACAGCAGGCCTCAGCCCCGCTTAGGGCAGCCACTTCCCAAAGCTTGCCGTTATGCTTGCCGTTATAGATCCCATCTCTTGGAGATGCATCTTCCACAACCCAGGAGTCTTTCTCATGGACCTGGAAGCCATCCTTTGAAATGTCATCGTCAAGAGAGACAAGGCCCAGCTGCCAGTCTTTGTGGAGGGCAGGAGCCTCACAACCACAAGCACCAGGTGCAACCCAGTGGCCTAATCAGTGACCCGCTCTCTTCACCTTTTTGTAATTTCCACCTCCCGGACTCTGCGGAGCCCCCTCTGGTCCCCCTCCCTCATTCTCCCTGTAAAACGCCAGGTCACCCCCACAGGTCACACCAGACAGGTAGCCCCACTCTGGTCGCCCGCACAGGTCACCCTGCACAGGTCACCACCACAGGTCACCCCACACCGGTCACCCCTCAGGTCACCCCCACAGGTCATCCCACAGGTCACCTCCCACAGGTCACCCCCCACAGGTCACTTCCCACAGGTCACCTCCCATAGGTCACCCCCACAGGTCACCCCACACAGGTCTATGCTGAAGTCTCGTGCCCCTACCCATTGTGCTGAATAAAATCTGCCCTCACCGCCTGTAGCTAGTGTTGAGCCTTGTCGCTGTTTGACAGTGACCAGGCGTGGTCCCTCCACGGCCAGTGAGAGCCAGGGCTCCTTCGGAGAACCCCTGCGCCTGCACCTGTCCTCCCAGCATGGGAAAGATGGGCCCGTGGGCCAGCACCTCCTTTGTCCTCAGTGCCCCTGTTAGCCAAGAGGGGCACTGCGACCTCACCCTCACCACGCTCGTCCATCGGACCCCTGCTGGCTACCTGGGAGCCCCTAGGGTCCCCAGAGACGCCCATCACCACGTCCAAGAGGGGGCCTCCCAAGCTGTGGGCACCCACCCGGGGCCCTCCCTCAATTCCTGCGGCTTCTGGGTGCTCACGCTCTCGGGGCCTCCCCGCATCCCTGCTCCCCTGACTGGACACAATGCTCACCTTTGGGCCAGAAGTGCCTCCACAGATCCTCCTCCCAGCACGGAACACGGCCCCTGGGCCTCAGTCTCCCAAGCCCTCTTCTCAGACTTCCCACTGCAAGGTGGGCAGGTCGGGGGTGATTATGGCACAAAGCAGGCAGTCCTGGCCACGCCACATCCCACTGGCCACGCCCCACCTTGGCTCAGACTCCCTCAGGGCGGCCAGGACCACCATCATCTGAGACCCCTTTCCTGGATCCGTTTCTCCTCCAAGTTCCCCAGCCCCGGTGGTGTGCCAGCTTAGGAGAGCCACCTGCTCACCACACGGGACTTTTGCAAGCCAGTTGTTACACCACCAAGAGCTTGAAATCAGCCGTGGAGGGAATATTTACCCCACGGGCACTGGCAAACAGCCCCAATCAGGGCTTGTCATTTCAGAGCCAGTTCACCCCAGACGCCCCTCCTCTCCCACTGCCTGTGGACATCAGGCTCCCTCTGACTCTTCGGGTCCAGCCAAGCGGCCCTCCCTTACTCTGGGTCCCCTCCTGGCCAGCCCCAGCAGAGGGCTGCAGAGTTCTCAAGAAAGAAGGCTGCAGAATGTCTCTGTTCTTGATTAAAAACAACTCAGCTCCCAGAAGGAAACCTTCCAGCCTCTACAACAACCCCTCTGGATGCTAGCTTCCCCTCACAGTCCGTGTGTCCACCTTCCTGCATGTGAATAAATGCAAATTCTCTCGCTCTTGATAGAAGCTCCTTTTTCAGAGCTGGTCCCAGCTCTCTGAGCACCCACACCTTCCACATATTTTCACACCAATCTCACACCACCATTTCTAAATCGAACTCCATCCTGCCCCCTCACCCCTCTGACAGAATCCAGAGTTCTCACTGTCCTTCTGTGTCTCTCTGCTCTCTGGGGCAGCAGAGTTTACGGTTATAACTCGGGCCCACTGGGGTTCCCATCCAGCTCTTCTGCTTGCTAGTGTGGGCTCTGGTGCGAGTTCTTCATTGCGCCTTGGTTTCACCATCTGTAAAGTGGGAATAAAGCAGCACCCAGCTCACAAGGTTGTCGTGAAGGTTAGTGAGTTAATAGTCATAAGTGGCTCAGAATAGTTCCTGGCATACCAAGACCTAGTATACGAGTGTTTGGGAACACAGTAAAAATAAATACAGCTCCCAAGCCACCCATTAGTCTACGGATTCAGGAGAGGATTATATCCCATAATAAAGAGGATATAAAAAAGGAAAGACAGAATATGGTTATGATTCAACCGAATGCTGAGAAGTAGGGGAAATAAAAGTAAGAAGCCTCAGAAAGATGCTCAGATGGAGGCGGTCAGGAGCGACTGGCCCTCCTGGGCCCACCCTCAGGTCTGGCTCCAGCTCGTCGTGGCTTCCCCCGTGCCGGGACCCCAGCTCCGTGCATCCCCTGGGCTCCAGCCTCTCAGGAGTTTAATGAGATGAGCTACCCGTTGTGGGTCCGGGATGTGCATCCTCAGGGACCTGCTCCAACAACAATAAGGAAATACTCTTCTAGACCACATGATGGACAACACACACCCCGGAGGTGTATATAAGCCCCAAACAGCTCACACACCCTTAACAACCCACTCCCACAGACACTCACACACACACTCTCCTCCAGCCCCACCGCCCCACCATGGCCGCCTCCACCCTGTCCGTCTGCTCCAGCGACCTGAGCTACGGCAGCCGGGTCTGCCAGCCCGGGTCCTGGGACTCCTGCCCCAGCTGCTCCCGCCAGGTGGACGACTGCCCAGAGAGCTGCTGCGAGCCCCCCTACGGCACCCCCAGCTGCTGCGCCCCGGCCCCCTGCCTGACCCTCCTCTGCATCCCAGCCAGCTGTGTGTGCAGCCCCTGCCAGTCAGCCTGCACCAGCTCCTGTACTCCCTCCTGCTGCCAGCAGTCTAGCTGCCAGCCCTCCTGCTGCACCTCCTCCCCCTGCCAGCCATCCTGCTGTGTGCCTGTCTCCTGCACACCTGTCTCCTGCACACCTGTCTCCTGCACACCTGTCTGCTCCACACCAGTCTGCTCCACACCTGTCTCCTGCACATCCATCTCCTGCACACCCATCTGCTGCAAGCCTGTGTGCCGTGTGCCCATCTGCTCCGAGGCCTGCCCCTCCTCAGACCCCTCCTGCTGCCAGCAGTCTAGCTGCCAGCCCTCCTGCTGCACCTCCTCCCCCTGCCAGCAGGACTGCTGTGTGCCTGTCTCCTGCACACCAGTCTGCTCTGGGGCTGCCCTCTGCCCAGCCCCCTCGTGCTGCCAGCCCACCCCCTGCTCCCCGTCCTGCTGCAGACCCTCCTCCTGCATGTCCCTCATCTGCCGCCCTGTGTGCAGACCCTCCTCCTGCGTGTCCCTCATCTGCCGCAGGCCCGCCTGCTGCGTGCCCGTCTCCTCCTGCTGTGCCCCCGCCTCCTGCCAGCCAAGCTGCTGCCGCCCGGCCTCCTGCGTGTCCCTGCTCTGCCGCCCCGTGTGCTCCCGCGTGGCCTGCTGTGGCCCCGCCTCAGCCCAGAAGTCCTGCTGCTGACCGGGCACGTCCCCCACCTCTCCCACTGCTGCCATCGGATGTAACCCCAGCACAAGCTTCAGTACTCGTCTCAGCGTGAGCATTCGCTGACCTCAGACCCCAACGACCAGGGCTCAGCCCATCTGCAGCCTCCACATCAGGCCTGTATGAACCTGAGACGGCCCTCCCCTATCATTGGTGGGCTCACCGGCCATGGCCCCAGCCCTTCCCCCGTAGCCTTACCGGGGCCTCTACCCTCTACCCTGGAAGCCGTTTGCCCTGCCCACCCCAGACACGTGTCTTGAGCTGAATGAATAAACTCGCCATCCTTGCCTCTGCTGGTCCTCTCTCCTGGCCCCATTTTATGTTTCATTTTTCCGGCCCTCCACGCAACCCTGGCCTCAGCAACCCTGGAGATAAGCCACGTCTTGGGAGCATTTCCAACGGTGATGCATTCTGAGGCCCACCCATTGGCCCACGACCCCCAGCCCCTGCATCTGACCTCCAGGCAACTCTATGGTGGCTGTGCTGTGTGTCTGGGGCTCAGGTGGTCAACAGCCACCTGGCCAGCAGGCCCCTGGAGGGGAAGGCCCTGTTGCCCCAGAACTGGCTCTCCATGGTCAGTCTGAGGACACCCAGGGGGCAGGGCCCAAGCTGTCCAGGGCCTTCCTGGGGCACAGCTGAAAAGGAGCGTTTCTGCTGACCACCAGCTCCCTGAGTCTGTCCCTCCACCTCCCCTCGAACCTTAGCACTTTATTCAGATGTCCCAACCCCGTCTGTCTGTGCCTGTGCAGGCCAATGACAACACCCTTTCCCCAGCCCCAGGTCCAGGTCGGGGGTTGCAGAGGTCAGGGGGAAGAGGCCAGAGGGTAGGTGACTTCAAGGGCCCACTCTGGGGTCTGGGGCCCGCTTGCCGCCCTTGGGTGGTTTTCCCTCTGGGCCAGTCTGGACGGGTCCCCAGTTTCCCTGAGCTTCCCACGCTCAGGTCTTAGACCTGGACACAGCTGCTTCCTAAACTGCAGTCCCCCTGCCTCCATATTCCCACCAGTGCCACCTCCTAGCTCTTGATCCCACCCTGCTATTGGCATGACACCCCCATTCCTCCCAGGAGGTGATGAAATCCAGTAAGGTGTTCCCCCGAGAGAGGCAGAGCAACAGTGAACCCCCCTAGAGCAGGTCTAAGACAGCACCTGACCCTCAGCCCCTCCCCTGGAGAACCTGGGCTATACTCCCTGGGCTGGGCTGACTATTTCAGTGCCATCCTCCAAAAAGGGGGGGTCTTCAGGGAACCTGTTAGTGGAAAGTAGGGCCCCCTCCCAGCAATTAGAATTGAGTGGTGTAAATGGGTGTAGACAGACTAGCACCCTATAGTCCTTCCTCCTACATTCTGGGGCTGTGGAGGTAGGTGGGAGTCCCGACCCCTACTTCCCCTGAGGACCCTGCCCCCACTCTCCTGGGGGACCCACCCCTCCCTCCCAGGACCCTGCTATGGAAGACAGGGTATAAGATGTCAATACGAGTGACACCAGCATCATGGCAGAGTGAGCTGTTCCCTAGTCTCTCCCCTCTAAGTTACAACTAAACGGACATTCATTAACCAACAGAGGATTCCCTTCAAAGCACAATAGGATGTCTGAGAGATCCACGCAGCCATACATCTGAAGGTGGGGGTACTGGATCCCCGGGAAGCAGTGGAAGGAGGTGAACAGATCCCCTCCCCTCCCCAGTCACAGCGATCTAGGTTGCAGGTCCTCAAGCAGCAGCCAGTACACGACTGTGAGAGGAAGCGGGGAGCAATGCAGGCCTGTAAACAAATGCTTTCGCTTTTGGAGTTGCAGCCCCACCTGTGGTAACACTCTCCACCAAGTGGCACAGTGCAGCCACCACTTGGGCACCCCTACCAAGCTCAGCAGCCCAGGTACTTCCCATGACCGCAGAGCCAACCGCATGCGTGAAAGAAAGCACCCCTCCCCCCAAGCCTAGTGCACCAGCTCAGCTGGCCCCTGGCAAAGGCAGTGGTCCCACACCAGAGTGCCCGCGCAGGCATGTGTGGCGCGCCAAGCAGCTGCGGCCAGCGGGCTAACACAGATGATCCCTATGGGCACAACTTCCAGCAGACAGAGCAGGTTCAGAAAACAGGTCCTGCCCCCCCCACAAGTGGTGGCAGGTGAAATCTGCAACCTGATGCTACCACCAGGTGCCAGAAAAGGATCACTTCATCAAACACCATGAAGAACTACATTAACACTCCGGAGCAGAAGGGAAATGACAAGTCTCCAGAAACCAATCCTGAAGTCACAGAAATTTACAATCTAAATGACACAGAATTCAAAACAGTTGTCATAAAGAAACTCAATGACTTACAAGAAAACTCAGGAAGACAGTTCAATGAGCTCAGGATAAAAATAATGAGTAGAAGGAATACTTCACCAAAGAGATGGAAATTCTAAGGAAAAAAACAAACAGAAATTCTGGAGATGAAGAACACAAGTAATGAGATAAAAAATAATCTAGAATCCTTAAATAATAGAGCTGACATTATGGAGGACATAAATAGTGACTTAGAGGGTAGAAATAGAGAAATGCTTCAGGTGGAAGAGGAGAGAGAACTAAGACTTTAAAAAAATGAAGGAATTCTTCAAGAAATATCCAACTCAATTAGGAAATGCAACATAAGGATTATAAGTATTCCAGAGGGAGAAAGGAGCAGAGAGCTTGTTCAAAGAAATAATAGCTGAGAACTTCCCAAACCTGGGGAAGGAGCTAGACTTACAAATACATGAAGTCAATAGAATGCCTATTTACATCAATGCAAAAGGCTTTCTCCAAGGCATATAATAATAAAACTGGCAAAAGCCAATGACAAAGAAAAAAATATTAACAGCAGCAAGGCAGATGAAAATAATCTACAAAGGAACCCCTAACAGGTTTTCAGTGGATTTCTCAGCAGAAACCTTACAGGCTAGGAGACAATGGAATGATATATTCAACATACTGAAAGACAAAAACTTTCAGCCAAGAATACTCTATGCAGCAAAACTATCCTTCAGATATGATGGAAATATAGAAGCTTTTCCAGATAAACAAAAGCTGAGGGACTTCATTGCCACTGGACCTCACTTACAAGAAACGTTGAAAGAAGCCCCCCAACTGTAACAAAAAGGCAAAAGTTTACAAAGCTTTGAGCAAGTAGATAAATAGACAAAATTAGAAAATTGCAGCTTTCTATCATAACAGGTTAGCAAACACTTAATTATAACATAAAACATAAAAGGAAGGAAAGCATCAAAAATAAGTATAAACACTTCAATTTAGTTACAAACTCACAAGACAAAACAGAATAATTTGTGACAATAACTCAGAAGGGGAAGACGAAAGGGATTGAACCTGCTTAGGCTAATGGAGATAAAAGGCTATCAGAAAATGGACTATCTCATCTACGAGATCTTTACAAACCTCACAGTAACCACTAAACAAAAAATCAGAGCAGAGTCACAATTAATAAATAAAGCGAAAATTGAGAAAACCATCACAGAAAACCATGACACTGAAATGGCAGTCAGAAATACAAGGGAAGAGAAACAATGGAAATATAGAACAACCAGGTAACAAGAAATAAAATGGCAGTATTAAGCACTTATATATCAGTAATCACTCTAAATGTTAATGGATTGAATTCTCCAATCAAAAGACACAGAGTAGCTGGATGCACTAAGAAACAAGATCCAACAATATGCTGCCTCCAGGAAACACATCTCAGCTCTAAAGACAAACATAGGCTCAGAGTGAAGGGATGGAAGACAACACTCCAAGCAAATGGTAAACAAAAGAAAGCTGGTGTTTTGCTTACTTATATCAGACAAAGCAGACTTCAAGGTAAAAAAGACAATGAGAGACAAAAATGGGCAGTGTATAATGATAAAAGGGACACTCCAACAAGAGGATATAACACTTATGAATATATATGCACCCAACACAGGAGTACAAAAGTATGTAAAGCAACTATTAACAGACCTAAAGGGAGAAATTAACAGCAACACAATAATAGTAGGGGACCTCAACACCCCACTTACATCAATGGATAGATCATACAGATAGTGAGTCAACAAGGAAATAGTGGGTTTAAATGAAACACTAGACAAGATGGACTTAATAGATATATAGAAAGCATTCCATCCAAAAACAGCAGAATACACATTCTTCTCAAGTGCACATGGAACATTCTCAGAGATAGACCATGGGGGGAAACAAGGCAAGCCTCAATAAATTTACAAAGACTGAAATCACATCAAGCATCTTTTCTGACTGCAACACTATGAAACTAGAAATCAACTACAAGAAAAAAGTTGGGAAAGTCACAGATAGGTGGAGTCACAAACATGCTACTGAACAACCATTGGATCGATGAAAAAATCAAGGAAAAATAAAAAAATACCTGGAGACAAATAAAAATGAAAATACAACATATCAACTCATGGGAGGAAGCAAAAGTGGTCATAAGAGGGAAATTCATAGCAATATAGGCCCACCTCAACAAACAAGAAAAATCTCAAATGAGTAATCTTAAACTACATCTAACAGAACTAGAAAAAGAAAACAAACAAAGCCTAAAGTCAGCAGAAGGAGGGAAATAATAAAAATTAGAGCAGAAATAAATTAAATAGAGACTAAAAAAACATTAGAAAGGATCAATGAAACTAAGAGCTGATTCTTTGAGAAGATAAACAAAAGAGAGAAGTCCTCAGCCAGTCTCACTAACAAAAAAGAGAGAAGGCTCAAATAAATAAAATTAGAAATGAAAGAGGAGAAATTACAATGGATACCACAGAAACACAAAGGGTTATAAGAGAATACTATGAAAAACTACATGCCAATAAATTGGATAACCTAGAAGAAATGGATAAATTCTTAGACTCATACAACCTCCCAAAACTGAATCAAGAAGAAATAGAGAATCTGAATAGACCAATCACAAGTAAAGAGATTGAAACAGTAGTCAAAAACCTCCGCCCCAAAAAAGTCCAGGATCAGATGGCTTCTCTGGAAAATTCTACCAAACATTCAAAGAGGATTTAATACCTATCCTTCTCAAAATATTCCAAAAAACTGAAGAAGACAGAATGCTTCCTAACTCATTCTATGAGGCCAACATCACCCTGACAGCAAAAGCAGATAAGGACAGCACAAAGAAGGAATATCGCTGATGAACACAGATGCAA